GGACATTTTGACAATTTTTTCTTAAAAAACCATTGGGTTTTTGATGTTTTTATGTTAAAATCGTTACGAAACCTAAGGTTTTGGAAGGATTTCGTCTTGCGCGCACGAATGTCCACTTTACCTTATTTTTTGCAAGGGATTCTTGCAATTTGATCAAGTAAGAACAAGAATTTTCATTTTCTATTGTTTTTTGCAAGGGAAAACGAGCGTCAACAAAAAAACGGATCCGGAGCTCATCCACTTTTCTGAAGCTTTCGCGAAAAAATGATGAAAATGTAGCTGCGGCCTAGGCGCGGCGCAGAGGTCGCGCACCAGGGGTCCCAACAATAATAATTCTTTAGAAGGAATCATGTTCAACAACAACAAACACTGTGTGTGCGTTGGCCCCAAGGGGCGACGCGCGCGCCGAGACATCTCAGATTGTAAGCTCCATGGCGGGCGAGTTCTGGCCATGCCTTCGGGAAACGATATATATATATATATTATCATACGCACCTCTCCGAGGGAGTAGAGCTCAGAGGCGATTAATGCGCACGCGTCCGCGATTTTTCTGGGCGTTTCGCTCGGGACATCCTCGAAATTCTGAAAATCGGTGGCACCCCTCACGCAGATCGTGACGTCAGGGTCCAAAAACACATGGGAATTTCAACATGTTAACATAAAACCTTAAAAAAAACACATGGTAATTTCAATAATTGTGACCCCGATTCTCAGGGAATGGCGGTTTCGCTTGAAACATCCTTCCAAAATCGAGCCCCAGACCCCGCCTCGGAGCCTCCTGGGGGCCTCCTGGAACCTCCTGGGGCCTCCTGGGGCTTTCTGAACCTTCTGGCACCCCAGACCCCGCCTCGGAGCCTCCTGGGGGTCTCCTGAAACCTCCTGGGGCCTCCTGGGGCCTCCTGCGGCCTCCTGGAGCCTCTTGGGGCCTCCTGAAGCCTCCTGGGGTCTCCTGGGGCCTCCTGAGGCCGCCTGGGGCTTCCTGGGGCCTCCTGGGGCTTCAGAACTACATGCACACAGAGACACAAATCACGCCCAACACATCACACGCTAGACAAACATAACACACACACACACACACACACACAACACCTACAACACACAAAAAGCACGCACCACACAAAGCATACATCACACACACACACACACACACACGCACAACACTCACAATCCTGGGGCCTCCTGGAGCCTCTTCTGGTATCCAAGTCGGGCCTCCTGAGGCTTCCTGGGGGGTCCTGGTACACACATCGCAAGGTGTGGCAACCCCACTTGCGCTCGAGTGCGACTTCGATGTTGCATTTCACTCCTGCTTCAAACGCCCCTTCAGTTTTTTGTATGAGCCTGGGCACACACGTGCCACTTGTATATATATATATATACACAAAATATGATTATACTACATGTTCAGGTCGGACACACGCCTCCAACGTCAGCACATCGAGTCGGCCCTGATTCGTAGGTCGACCCTGCCAAATCGAGGGTACCCTCGTGTCCCGCGTCTCGCGACCCATGCCCCATTCATTAATATGGTAATGTGGCCCTCGGAAGGGTCATGTGTCCTCTCGTGTGCCCTGTCCAACCAAGTCCGACTGTAGCATTAGTGGGCCACAGAGGTCTGGACCAATTCCCCAGGACCGGGTTTTCGTCCCGAGTCGTGTTTGGACGCTCCCGAGGCACGGCGAGGGCCCCTGGAGGCCCCAAACGGCCCCAAACCGCCCGCTCCAATTTTGCTCGGAGCGTCGGATCTTTGGGAGTCTTCGTATACGTTCACCAGCCCCGGAGGCCTGGGTCGGCGACCTGTGGCAGGCCGCGCCAGCCTTCCGCCTCACTGCCCAGCCGCTGGGGGCCCTTGGCGTGCACCGTGGGCGACGGGCGGCGGGCGCCGTGCCCGCCCCTCGCGGCACACGGGGCGCCTCGTCGCGGCGCCTCGCGGCTGGGCCACGCCGAGGGCACGAGCGCTGCCCGCGTCGGCGAGGCGCCGCCGCGGCACGAGCTTGCGCGGCGCCGCGGCGCGCGTTCCCGCAAGGCCTTCGGAGGTCTTCGGCGGCTCTTGGCGGCTCTCTGGCCCAGCGGTGCTCTCCAGCAGTCGCCTCTCGCCGAGAGGCGCCCGGGGGTGCCCGGATCGCCCCGATCGGCCGCGGGGGGCCCGAGGTGTGACCCGAGAACAGGACGGCGGTGGAGTCGGGACACCGGCGGCCTTCCCAGGCGTCCAGCGGAGGGCCGGGTTGAGGTCCTCCATCAGTGGCGAGGCGTCCCGATTTGGGCCCACGAAGCCGTGCTCTGAGAACCTGTTTGCGGTGTGCACGGGGTGGTCTTTGCGACGAGGTGTGGCTGAGGCCGTCCTGTTTTGGCACATCGGCTTTGTGGTCTGAGGGCGTTGCTTGCGTTCTCAGAACGCTCTTTCATTTTAACTCAGCTTCGGGGTAGGCCTACAGGAATGCTGGGACGGTCGGCCCCTGCTCAGTATCCCGGGGCCGCGCGCGGCGGGGAGCGCGCCAGTTATTTGGATCCCCGGTGGGGCTGCTAAGGCCCAGGCCTCCCAAGTGGGGTACGAGTAATGAAATTGGGTCGCAGGGTCGATCCACATCGACGATGCATCGGCGATTCGGCGCGATGTGGAGCCCGATATTCTCGACGCCTGCGTCGTCGATGCATCGGCGATACTGCGCGACTCCGACCCCATCTAGGAGTCCTCTATAGGTGACAGCGGGGATTCCAGGTGAGTACTAAAGTGGTGCATAGCTGGCCTAAGCTAGCCGGCCACGGTTCGGAGGCGACGATAGGGGCGAATGGCCCAGGGGAGCGCCACACACGTGTCCAGAGCCTCCGACCGCCCGTGTCTTCGACGAGGCTCCCGGGCGAACACGAAGCAACGTCCGCTCCTGGTCTACCCCATGTCTGGGATCGCCCGCCCCGATCATCGGGCTCCGAGGCCTGGCCACAAAAGTGGCCGCTGCCGAGGGAGCCCCGCGCGCTCCGAGCGCCCGCCCTGGCCGCTGCGCCAGCCCGGAGCGCCCTCCGCGGCTCGAAGGGGGGCAGGCGCGGCCGGCGCTCCGAGCGCCCCATTGCAGGGACGCGCGATGCGCAGGAGGGCGAGGGGCGGGCGGGGGCCAGACATCGGGCGCTTCGAGAAAATCGAGACGGTTGTTTTTCGTCGTTTTCGTCCTCTCGGCACCCTCGCTGGGCCTCGGGACCGTCACAAAACGGTTTGGGATGCAAAAGCCTGGCCCAGGGAAGTGGTCGGACGGTCGTCGGACGGTCGGGGGCCCGTGTCTCGAACAAAATCGGAACGTCGTCAGATGTCTGGGGAACCTCTCGCTGCAAGCTTGGTGAGGGGTGCGGGGCAGACAGTACGGGCAGGGCGCCGCCGCGGACACGGACGCGAGCGCCTGCTGCGAGCCTCATGCCCTGCCCCCCCCTCGCCGCCCCCTGTCGGCCCCGCCGCCCGCTCCGCCAGAGGTCGAGCAGGCGAGGAGGGGCGGCGCGAGCGGGGCCTCTGCCGCGAGACCCTTTGGCCGCGAGCTGCTCGACCGCGGGTCGGGCCGCCACGCGGGGCCCGCCGAGCTGCGCCCTCGCGGCGGAGCAGCGGCCCAGGCCGGCGGCAGCCTCGTCGCGACGCACGGGGCGCCCGCGGGGCGCACAGCGGGGCGCGCCCGGGCAGCCCCGACGGGCAGGCCACGCCCGCGGGCCGATTGCGCGGTGGAGGCGGGACGCCGGCACACGCAGTGAGCCGATGGCCCGCGCCGGTTGCGGCTCGGCGGCTCGCCCGCGGCGAGGGCGGCCGTCCCCGAGGGGCGGGCGAGACGGCACGGAGCCGGGCTCGGCCCACGGCTGCTCGGGCAGGCCGTGGGCGGACGGTGCTCGCGAAGACGGGGCCCGCGGCTGCGCCGTGGGGCGCTTCTGGTGCCCAGGTGCTTCTCAGCCGTGGGGCTGCGCCGAAGACGGGGCCCAGGTGCTTCTCAGCCGTCCGCGGCTGCGCCCGCGGGGCGGGCGCCGGGGGGGCGTCGGCGGGCGCCGTGAGGTGCGCGGGCTGGGCCGCCAACGGCAGGCGCAGAGGCCTTCCCGCGCCGAGGGCTGCGGAGCCTCACCTGGGGGCCCGCCGCGCCCGCGGCGACAGATCGCCGACGCCGCCCGAGCTCTGGCCCACCTCGCTCGGGCGCGACACGCTGACCGCGTCTCCCGACCTCATCCCAGCCTCCCGCCCCGCGAAGCGGGGCGGCACGCTGTCGGCTCGCAGGGCACGCAGCGCTGTCGCCAGGGCCGCCGCCGCGGAGCGCTGAGCACAAGCTCTTGACGGTAACTCCTCCCCGCGATGCCACAGGGCCGTTTCTCATGCGTGGCCCGCGCGCGCAAACAACATCAAAGATTGCATGTTGCCCAAGCCCGCGGGCATCTAGAACAACTTGTCGGCATTGTCCTCTTCCCCCCGACGCCACCTCCTCGTCTTCCTCCCCTCCCCGTCTCGCAGCCTCCTCCGAGGGGGGCGTGGGAAGGGGGAGGGGGGAGGGATGGGCTGGCGCAGCGGGTTCTCTGACAGGTGACGCGGCCAGGTGACGTCGTGTTCAAGCGCGGCGATGAAGCTTTGGGCTTAGCTGCCCTGATACGCCCGTTTTGAGACGCAGCACGTACCGTGTTCCAAACGTCTGTGTCACTACGCTGCGTCTTGGCTCAACGTGTTGTCCCACGTTTTGGGGAACGCGTCGCGCCGAACGTACGTTTTCAATCTCCGTGTTGAGCTCCGTGTCAACACGCTACGTGTTGCGCCTTGCGTGTTGTGTATCGGGGCAGATAAGGCGTTGGGCGCCAAGCTTGTGTATTGGGGCGAGTTTGAGTATGTGAAGCCGGTTGTTCTTCAAGTAAGTGCCACTCCCAGCGAGACTACCGCCGAGAAGATCTGGAAAGAGCCTTCGCCGCGGAGTTCCTCAGTTGTCAAGACTACCAGCGAGAATGTCGTCCCGTGCCGCTGGATCTGCGAGTTGGCCCTACTCTGCGAATGGAAACATATGGGAGATATGTCATCCAGGTCCCTCAGGAATTCGGAGGAGGAGGTTGGATGGTGAGGAGGGGGAGGAGGAGGAGGAGAAGGAGGAAGAAGACGAGGAGGAGGAGGAGAAGGAGGAAGAAGACGAGGAGGAGGAGGAGCAGGAGGAGCAGGAGGAGCAGGAGGAGCAGGAGCATGATATTGCTCTCGAACGAACTGCCACGCAGGTCCCTCGGAGAGGTGTTAACGATCACTGGCAAAGATTTCGTGTCCATCCTTCAGCAAGACTTGTTCCTCTCTTCTCTTGCCCTGAACTACGCAGACAGCCTCTGCCACCTGACGAAGCTCCAGTCAAAGGAGGACGTGAGCGACCTAGTGCTGCCAGTCTCGCACAACGAGGTCGTCACACTCATGCCCTCGGACATCAGCCGTTGGCGAACACATAACCACAAACACAGTTCCAGATTCGCTGGGCAGTAGGCGGACTCGCTTCTGGAATGCGCGTGGGTCGTGATATCGAAGAAGGCTGCGGAGTCTGGCGGGAAGGCCAGCGGAAGCCGGCGGAAGCACGTGTGGCCGCATGCCTTTCCGTCTTTCGGCCTTCGTGTGACCAGCACGCTCTGGCTTGGCACCGCTCGGACGCGTGCAATTTCTCCTCGGCGAGGACCGTCGAGGAGCATCTCGGATCATTCTGCGAAGAAGCAAACGCACGACATCGACAAATGCACGGGGAATGGACGTCCGAGCGATGGCGAGCTGGGGGGGGGCTTCCGGCGCAGCGCCGTCTGCGCGCGCCCGCTGTCCGAAGAAGCCGCGCGGCCGTGCTGCTGCGCTGCGCAGAGCAGAGCGGCCGCCCGGGCTGCGAGCCGCTGGCCGCTTTGGCCGTCCCCTTCGGCCACGCGCAGAGGGGGCGGAGGGGGGAAAGGGGGAAGGCTGCTGAGAAGCACCCCTGCTTCTTAGAAGGCGCGGGCCTTGTCTATAGATGCAGGGCGTCGCCTTCTGAGGAGCAGCCTCTTTCAGAGAGGCCGTCCCCCCTCCCCCTGGCCCCTTGTGCTCGCCGCCAACCTCTGCCGCATTCCCTTCCCCCCTCCTCTTGTCGTCCCAGTCTTTGTCCTCTACTCCTCACCTTGTCGCTGGGTTCCTCCGCGATGTTAAGGAAAGTTGTATTCCCATGCTCGTGATGAGCTGATCCCGTGTCCACGGTTCAGAGATTGGTAGAAACCCCGCTCTGTCGAGTCGATCAGCGAATCGCCTTTTTGCGGTTCTCGGGAGTTGGCTGCGGCCGCAGTTGTTGCGGGCCTACCCCCGTCAGGTCTGGTCTCGCGTCGTTTTTCCTAGAGGGTATGTTGCTGAAGGGGGTTCTATCCAAACCCGCACGGTCAGTTCTACTTGCCGTCAAGCCCGGTCTTCTTCACGTCAAGTTTACGTGTTGATTCACGGAGCTCAGACGCTTGGTGGTCGTCGTCAGTTGTCAAGCCGTCATTGCCGCTGTTGCGGGGACGAAGACAGTTCTACCTGCCGCCAAGGACACGCGCTTTGCCATGTCGAAGGCTGCCCTGGACCTGGCAGACAGGCGGAACCTCCTCGGCAGCCGCCGGAGGACAGCCATGTCCGAGGCCTTCAAGGGAGGAGATGGGAGGAGGAGGAGGAGGAGGAAGCAGTGGAGGAGGAGGAGGAGGAGAAGGGAAACGGGAGACATGTTTTGACATTCGCTTCGGGGGTGAACTAAAGCTCAGGCGCGTTCCTCGGACAGCAGCTGACCCCCAGGCATTGCCTGGGGCGCTGCCAGTTCCGATTCGGCTCCACCGAACCCTACCCCAGGAGGAGGAGAGGAGGAGAGGGAAAACGTCCTGAAACACGCAAGCCCGGGTTAAACGCTGCCCACCTACTAATGAGCCGTGCCCTGGCCAGCCGGATCGACGCAGACCTTCCCCAGACCGGGGAGGAGATTCCCAACACACCCACCAATGCCTCCCCAGACACGAACAATCCCTGAACGCCAACTTGCAGTTTCGGACTTTCGGGCATGGTGAGACCATGGCAAGACCCGCCAGGGAAGGCCACATGCTTTCGCGTGCGACCTGGCTGCCAATTCCTTGAACTGTCTGGAGGGAGGAGGGAGGGAGGGAGGGGAGAAACGAATGAGAGAGACGGAAGAGGAAGAGGGTGAGACTACCCTGGTTCTCAGGGTTGGCAGGGACGAGCAAGTTCTTCGACTGGGCCCTGGATATACTGGGGCGTCTGTCAGGCCGTTTCCTAACCTGCCCCGACGCATTAGCCCAGATACCTTTGCCTGCCAGAGCAGGGAACCAGGAGATGATCGATTAAGAGCTCCCCACCAAAAATGAAACCTTCCCCCATCCTTCCCAAGAATGTCTGCTGCGCCAGCCTGGCGCCAGACCGCCTTTGCTGCAAGTAAATCGGCTGCAAACATACAAGATGGGCAAGAGTGAGAGATGGAGGGGGATAAGCAAGGCGTTGGGGAACCTGTATTGCTCCACGTTTTCTCACCAGTCTAGCTACAGAACGCTGCTGAGTGTTGGAAGCTACTGGAAGATATGGAAGGGGATTTCCCACTTCCTTGACACTGCAGCTGCGGCTTCACTGTCTCAACACACCCCTATCAGATTGCGAGTCGAGGATCTGGAAGGGGACCTCCCACTTCCCCTCCAAAGGGATATGACGAACCAAGTGTGATGAATTTTGCGGATTCTACCGAAGAAATTGCCGTAGCCATTGATAGGTGAGTGCGGGTGCTACCGCGAACAATGCGAGGAAGGGGATCTTCCACTTCCCGAAATGAGACTGCAACTGCGGCTCCTAGCCACAACAACACCATTATGACATTGATCGTCGAGGTTCTGGAAGGGGACCTCCCACTTCCCCTCCAAAGGGATACGAGGAATAAAGGTGTGGTGTATCATGCGGATTCTAGCGAAGAAGAGATTGCCGTAGCCATTGAAAGATGAGTGCGGGTGCTACCGCGAGAAGTGCGAGGATCTGGAAGGGGGTCTCCCTCTTCCCCTCGGAATCCGAAAACATTGAATTACTTTCTCAAGATGACGTGCACATCGGCCATGCGAACTTTCATGGATGTTCGTTCCTTGCGCCTGAAAATGGTGCGGGTCCTCCCACCCTGCGCGACTTCCCTATCAGGGAGGAGCTTATGACTTCGAAGCTGAAGACGCTTGAGAAGAATTATCACTCTCACTGTCACTGCTGATCTCGGAAGCTGGCTTGTCAGTCTTACCGTCGTTGCCCTTCTCGCCACGGGGGGATGCTGGGCTGCGAACCTCACGGGAGCGATTGTCCTGTTTCATCCTGCGGATTTCCTCCCTGGCCTGGTCGAGCTGCTTCCTCAAGGACTGGATGCGGAAATCTTTTAGGCCCTGCTTGATCTCCTCCAATGACATTGGCTTGACAGGAGAATCCGAGGCAGTGTCGTCATACTGCGATTTCTGGAGCTTCTTCTGCTAAGTCTGCTCAGCTGAGTCCGAGCTGGACTCCAAAGGCCTTGAAATCTTCCTCGACTTAGGCTCCTTCTGCACCGGCTGCTTGACTGGGTCCTTCCTGGACTCCGATGAATTAGACTTCCCCGCCGGAGCTCTCGGCGGTGTTGGAAGCCGAGGGCGAAGTACCGCAGCAGCGGGCGGAGCTGTTTGAACTTCACTCTCCCATGGCAACCCACATTTGCAAGTAGGATCCCTCTGGATACGATTTCTCCATAGCCAACATGTGTTCCCAATTGGACGAAGAACGTATGAAGACTTCTTTCTGAGCTGTTCCTGCGAGGATTGTTGCGGTCACTGCTTCACCCACGGTGCCTTTACCCACGGAGTTCTTGTCTGCATGGCGTGCCGCTCTGCCGCAGGTTCCAGGAAAAGGGGGGGTGCGCGCGCCCAAACCTGGCCTTGAGTCAAAATGGCTACGGGAGGGGGTAGGAGGGAGAAGGGAGGAGGAGGAGATGGAGGAGGAGGAGATGGAGGAGGAGGAAGAGGAGGAGGAGGAGGAGGAGGAGGAGGAGGAGGAGGGGGAGGCGGTGGAGGAGGAGGAGGCGGTGGAGGAGGAGGAGGAGGAGGAAGGACCCTCAGATTCGGGCGCTGCATTTTTTTGCAACGAGCCAGTTTCGGACCCGGGGACCCTCACAAACCGAACCAGATCAGAACATATCGCAGAAACGCGGGGTCCGCGGCTGCGGTGGTGTTTTTTGTTGCGATGTTGCATGTTTCTGTCTACAACGTCAGACTTGAAGGGAGGGGGAGGAGGAAAAGGAGGAGGGAGGAGCAGGAGGGATGATAAAGAGGGATGCGTGGGGAGAATGAGGAGCATGACCTAAAAGGCGCCGCAGCCTCCCTATATCCCTTCTCCGCCTCCGCCTCCTCCATCCTTCTGCATGCTATTCCCTCTCCTCCCTCTGTGGTTAAATGCGCTTGACGTTCAGAAAGCGCGACTTGGAAACTCTAAAGCGCCTGCGTCGCGACGCCTCCGCGCTACGGGACGCCTTTGTCTCCTCGGTTGCGTGCGGCGTGGGTTTTTCGAAGACGCCGCGGCTCAACACTTCTTCCTTCTTCCCGCTGCCTCTTTGTGGTTGCGATAATGTAGTCTCCTAGACGGTTTGTTTGTAAGGGCCTTGATCTGCATACATGCGAACATACATATATACATACATACGCATACATTCATTCACACGCCGATGCTTGTCTGTCTGTCTTTCTGTCTATCTGTCGGTCTGCCTGTCTGTCTGTCTGTGTGTCTCTCTGTTTGCCTGTCTGTATGGTTGTCTGTATGTACGCATGCGTGCAATCATGCAAATATGCATGCAATCACGTATGCCTGCATGCATGAATATGTGTGTAGGTATGTGCTTGTATGTGTTCATGGATGTATGTAACTCCGTATGTATGTATGTATGCATGTGTCTGTATGTGTGTAGTGATGTGTGTATGTATATATGTGCATGCGTGCGTGTGTACGCATGTACGAATGGATGTGTGCACGTATGTAAGAATACATGTACGTATTCAAGTGCGTGCATGTATGTATGCATGTATAAATGTATGCATGCATGTATAGATGTAGGGATGACTGTACCTATGCATAGTTGTGTGTGTGTGTTCGTGGATACATGCCTGTGTGTAGTTAGGTATGTATGGATGGATGTGTGTACGTGTGTATGTAACGTATGGTACGTACGTGCATATGCACGTATGTTTGTATGGATGCATGTGCGTACGTACGTGCGTATGCATGTACGTAACTATGTGATTGCATGGAGCTATGCATATATGTATGCAGACATGTACGTATGCATGGACGCGTGTATGCATGTATGTGTGTATGGGTGTGTGAACGTATGCGTATATGTATGTATGCATGTATGCATGCAGGTATGCATGTATGTATAGATGCACGTACATGTGTATGCATGCATGCATGTGCGTATGATTGTATAAATGTATGTATGTCTGACTTGCTGTTTGTCTGCCTGTGTGTTGATCTGTCTTCATGCATGTATGTAGGTATGTATGTTTGGATTATACATGTATGCATAAATGAATGCATGACTGTATGCATGCATGCATGTAAATGTGTATTCAGGCATACATACATACAAACAAACATACAGACAGACAGACAGGCAGACCGACAGACAGACAGACAGACAGACAGACAGACAGACAGACAGACAGACAGACAGACAGACAGACATGACACCAGCCACGGCTTCTAGTGCGGAGTGTGGGCATCCGAAGTGTTCACGCTTAAGGGCATGAAACACTTGCGCGCCGCACCCCCCTCTCTTAGGTGCAGCTCCCACGCTGGCCTGGGCCATTGTGGTTCGGCGCCGACCAGCTGCTGCGCCGCCAGCGCGGATGGCGGTTCTGCGCCGCCCGGCCCGGGCGCCGCAGCGCGCGTGGCCGCCAGGCCCCTCGCGGTCTGGCGCGGAGGCCGAACCCGAGGCCGACCCCTGTCTGGCGGAGGAGCTCGCGGGGCTGGCCCCCGCCCTCGGCGTCCCTGATCTAGGCTTGGGCGCTGGCGGCGTCGCCGGTGCCGGGCCACCAGCGGGCCTGCCTGCTGCGGCACCCCGCGTGGCACCAGGCGCTGGCGGGGGCGCCTCTACTCACCCGCTGCACCCCGCTCCAGGTGCGGCGGACGGGCTGCCGCAGCTTCGCGACGGAATGCAACCCCACCACGCGGGGGCCCGGGCCGAAGAGCTTCGGGCCCTCCTGCGCGCGGCCCGGGAGCGCGTGAGAGCGGCCGCCGCGAATGGCGCTGCCGCCGACGCCCCCGCATCGGCGCTTTCATACTGCCTTTTGGAGGAGCTCGTCGGGCGCATCCTCGCAGCCGCGGAGCTGGAAGGGGGCGAAGACGCGGATCCTGTCTTCTGGCGCGCTCCCGGCGGGGCCGCAGACAGCCGCGGCACCGACCGCAGCCGGCCCGGAGCCCACGCTCTGGCCGCCAGGTTCTGCAGCGCCCTGACGCACCAGGCCCTGCGGCGCATGGAGGGCCACGTGCGCGTGGCCGCGATGGCGATGGAGGACCTCCTGGCGGGCCCAGCGCTGCCCAACGTGGTGCGCTCGTTCCTCCTCACGACGAATTATTATTTTTCGCGGCGCATTCCGAGGCCACCGTCAGTCTGCGGAACGCGAGGGAGCTCAAGACCCTCGCGGCGATCATCGAGGCGGTCCTCCAATGCCAGGTCCTGACGGCCCTGGACATCGCCACCCAGCGCCTGAAGGCCATCGAGGTTAGCATCGAGGGGGGCTCGTGGACCAACGCGCGGTGGCTCGAGCTCACCCCGGTCGAGTCCGCGGGCGTGTACGACTGGAGCGACCTGCGGGAGGCGCGGCGCGAGGAGGAGATGGACCGGCGGGCGCACGACTGCCGGCGGCGGCGATGCAGCCGCAGCTGGTCGCGGGGCCGCCCGAGGAGCCTGAGTTCCGCGCGGCGCCCACGCGGCGGGAAAAGCAAGGGCGGCAAGGGAGGCAAGGGCGGGCGCTCCGGACGGAGCCAGCAGCGCCGCCGGTGAGCAGGGATGGGGAGGCCACAGGGCTTCCGTGGAAACGCCCACGGTTCCAGAGGATGTCAGGGACGAGTCAGGGATGAGCCTGTCGCACTGGGGTTCAGATCTTCGCGGGAGACCTTGGGAAGATGAAGTTTGATGGGTCCACGTGCGTTGGAATGGGCGTGCCCTCCCTCGGACTCTTTCGGTCTTACTGGGCCGAATGGGCTGGCCATCAGGGCGCGGGGCCTGCCGAGCGCTCCGCCCTGCTTGGACGGGCCCTTCGGGTCGGCTCGGAATCGGAGCTCCCCGCGGCGAGAGCGCTCATCGATCGCCTGGACCTCGGGCGCGGCATCTCCGAGCCAGCGCCAGCTGTGCGGGCGTCGCGGCGGCTTTTGGCGGGGCAGTTCTCTGCCGGGGCCTCGGTCGCGCAGCTCGGGGTTGTCCTCCTCCGACAACTCGAGGAAAGGCTGGGCGGCCTGGGTGAACTCAGTCGTCTCTGGCCTTGCGGCGCGTGGCAAGATGTGGCCGAGGCCAGCGAGCTGCTGCCAGTCGCGCGGCCGACCCGCTCCGCTGGCCTCGAGGAGGCGCCGGCGGCAGCTCGGACTTGCCGCGGCCAGCCGCCGCCCGCAAATCGCGAGGTTGGCATCGATGCGTGGGTGGAGCTCTCGACCATGGTGTGCAACTACGGGTTTCGCGGGGGACCGCGGCTCCTGGCTAGACTCTTGAAGTCCCCAGCGGAACCGACGGCCACGCAGAGTCAGGCTCTCGAGCGCTTCCGGCTGCTCGTGGCGATCTGGGCTGACGAAGGGGACCCGACTAATTTGGTCACCTACGCGGTGGCCGAGCAGCAGGCTTCGGAGCTCTACTGGGGCGAGCACCTGACTCGCGCACTGCCGCTCACGCGCGACGGCGCCCCCCCCCCCGGTTGCCCGCTGCGGACGCGGCTGCCCGGGTGAACCTCGAGGACGTCCTCGACGGGCCTGCGTTCAATGCCCTCCGCGACCCATCCCCAGGCTTCCCGAGGGCGAGGCCGCGGTGCCTCTCCCCCGGGCCAGCGTTCTCATGAACACCAAGGAGGAGTATTACATGATAATCGAGTCGGTGTGCCGTTTGGGCGTCATGGAGGCGGAGGTCCCTGAGGAAACGTGGACGTTCCGGGGGGGGGCCGTCGGGAACGGCCTGCCCGGCGCCCGCAAGGCTCGGAAGGAGGTCGGCGGGCGGCGCCGCAGGTCGTCAATCTCGCGCCGACGAACGCGCTCCAGCGCAACTGCGGCGGCGCCGCGCAGACCATGGGGTACCCTGGCTTATGGCCACTCTACGTTTTGCACCCTGATGAGGTCCAAGTGCGCTACTCCGAAGACAAGGGCGGGTACTTCCACCTCTACACGGCCCCCCGCGCGCGGCGCGGTGCCTTCTTCATCGACGAGGCCGTGCTTGGGACTGCCTTGGGCCAGCCAGGCTGCTCGCGGGCGAGACCTCGGATGCGGACTTGCCCAATGGGGTGGATCAGCGCCGCGGCGTTTATCCAGGGGGCGCGCGAGAATTTGGTCACAGGCGGGCCCCCGCATGGAGCAGGCCTCCCCCGCGAGCAGCGCATCCGGACGGGCCACCCGGCGCCGCCGACTTCTGGGGCCCCGCGCATTTGGTTTTCGATTTATAGACCACTGGGACCTGGGCAAGAATGTCCTCGACGCTGAGGTGAATTGCTACGTCTTCGCGCCGAGCGAGGAGCAGCCGGCCGCGCGCGCGGCCTAACTACGCGAAGGTCCAGCGCGCGCCAGAGAAAGCGGCCGAAGGGCGCCTCACTCGGGAGACCCTGGGGGCGCAATTCTGCGGGGCTGATCGTTTAGATGGCACGTCGCCGCCTCGCTGGTCGTTCTGCGTTGGCCGGTGCCTCGACCGCGTCGCCGGCGAGCGCGTGATCAACGACGACCTCTTGTCGGACGTCGGCCGGATTTCTTTCGCCGCGCTGTTCCACCGTGGGTTTTTCTCCCTCTTGAGCCGGCCGCCCCGGGATCTGGCGGTCGGGGGGCTTCCTGGCCCTCTCGGCCCCGACGTTGCCGACGAGCTGTTGGTCGCGACGCTCGCCACGCCGCTGCTCCAGGCGGATCCTGCTGGCCAGGTTTCAGGAGAGGCGGTCGCGACCGACGCTTCGGAGACAGGCGGAGGAACGCGCGTCTCCGCGGGATTGTCTCCCAAAGGCGCGGCTCGCCCCCTGTTGGTCAACGGCTTCGATGGGATCGGCGGAGCCCGCGCGACGCTGGACCTGCTCGCCGCCACTCCCTGCGGCGCGATCGCCGTCGAACCCTCCCGCGCGGCGCGGGCGGTGGCCAAGGCCACTTGGCCAGAGACCTTCTTCCACTTCGACTCCGCAGCTGTCGCGGCCGAGGAGGTGGCCAAGTGGGCGGGCGCGTGCCCGCGGGCCCGCAGGGTGTTCCACATCAGCGGCCCCCCCTGCCAGGACTGCGCGCCCCCGAAGCACTCGCTGCGGATGTCAGGCCCCCTCCAGCAGCGCGCTGAATGGAACGCGCGCGGCTTGTTCGCCGGCGTCGCGACACTGGCGTTCCAGGGGGGGCAGGAGGTCACCCAGCGCGTCGGAGAGCAGCCGATCTTCGTCGAGGCGTCCGGCGCACTACGCCGCCCCCAGGGCCGCCTCATCTGGCCCCGGGGCCCCCGACCCATTGAAGGCGAGGGCTTCTGGGTCGGAGACGAGCCGGGAGGTCTGGACAGCCTCCGCGTCCAGCGTCCCAGCATCCGCCGATTCCCTCGAGCAGGGGGCCGCGAGGGTCGCGAACGCGGAGGGGCCGCTTGCGCGCTTCACGCGGCCTGTCCGGCACCCTGCTCCGCTGGCCGTGTCCGCAGCTCCCGGCCATTCATCCGATATGGCCTGCCCGTGAGTTCCACGGGCTTCCCCCCGCCTACTTGGGGACGAGGACTTGGTCCGGGGCCACGGAGCACCTCGTCGACTCAAAGCAAATGAACAAGTTCGCATGCTAGGATTTCCATAGGGGCACCTGCGTCCCGTCGAGCGCACGGCGCCGAAGGCTGGGCTCGAGGATATGAAAGGGGCCTTGGTTTCTGGTGCCTCTCCAGTGCTCGTCGTCGCCAGGTTTATCCAGCGCGTCGCCAAGATGGGCACCCATCGTGGGACGTCCGACGATCTTTGGAGCAAGCGGCGCGATCCCGACCAGGAGGCGCGGCGCAAGGCGACGCGGAGATGGGCGCAGGCACGCGGGGGGGGGCTGCAATGCCAGCCCCGGCCCCGCCTGCAGAGGCTGCCGCTGACGGCGAGCTAGGCCCTGAGGGTGAACTGGCCCAGGAATTTATCAGGCTAGCTGACCACAGGGGCTCCGACATCAGGCTCGACGCAGGGGTGCCTTGCCGTTTGGCCGCTTGGCCACGGGCCCTCCTCGATGCTGGGCTGTGGACGTGGCGAGTCAGCTTACCGCGTGCGTTCCGCAACCCGCAGAGCGCCAACATCTCAGAGGCCACAGCGGTCTTGGATTTCCTGCGCTCGCACCTCAAGCACAATCAGAACATGAGCAAGCGCAAGCTGTTCCTGCTGGGCAGCCAGGCGTCCATCGGAGCACTGACGAAGGGGCGGTCGCATTGCTGTCCTGGGTGATTTTTCCACTTTCGGGCGTTCTACGGACGGGCCCCCAGCAGAGGCAACCCAGCAGACGGTCCCAGCCGGTGGAAGCGACGCAATGTGGAGCGCCCCTGAGGAGGCAGCAGCGCCGCGGGCGCGCGGCCGTGGACGCGGCCGCTCGAGGCGCGAGCATGGCCACGAGGCACTCTCTGGGACGGTTGCGTGATATTTGTGCGCAGCCGCGCGCGCGGCGCCGTTGCGACAACGCCGTTCGGTCATGTTCGATTCCCGTCTTGACTCAGCGCCAGAGGCGGGCCGCCACTGCAGCAGCGCTCGACGCAGCTCTTTCGGACTACATTGAAGAGCTATGGCAAGCAGGAGAAGCCGGAGTCATGGCAGCGGACACTAGGTCTGGCATCACACACCACGTGCCCGAATTCGAGGACATGCACAGGGCTTGGCGGCTTCTCGCGGCCTGGCAGAGGAACGGATTGCCAGCCAGGTCCTCGGTTGTGGGCCTACGCGCTCGCGCAATACTGCATTGACCAGTCACGGCGCTGCACTGGCATTTCCAGTCTTCTTTTTTTGGTTGCATATTCTTGCCAGGCCGACGGAATTATTCAATGCGACTCTAGCTCAATTCATTATGTCTGCCGACTTATCGTCGGGAGTCTGGGTTCTCCTTCGCCGCAAAGGCGGGTCGCGGGGAGGCTGCTTGGAGTCGCTTCCTCTTTTGGATTCTTGGGTGGTCAAGCTGCTGCGCGTGCGTTTGCGAAGCCGGGGGGCGGCCGAACCCTTCTCTGAGGGGCGTCATGTTACTCGTCGATCGCGGTTTCAACGAGCTGCTCGCGCCGCGGGCCTCGACGTCGCCCTGCGATTGCACGGCATTCGACGCGGCGGTGCCGCGGACAATTTTCGGGGGGAGGGGGGGGGGCAAGATATCCCAGCGCCCATGGAATTGGGGCGGTGGCGCTCCCACATTTACGTCGCGGAGGGCCTGCAGCTGCTTGCCGAGACGGCGCCCGGTCCCGTTGCAGAGCAGCGTCTTCAATACAGGGCGGGGCTACTCCGGGGCATTGGAACGCGGTGATCACCCAGGGTGACTTCATAGAACGGGCATCGTGAACACTGTAGGGCGTCGTTCGCCGCTCGCCTGCCTCAGTGGCCGGCGGGTTCAGAACGGCTCCCTGGTCCTGGCTTGGAGCGGGGGCTGGGCTCGCCAGAGGGCCCCCAGCCTGCAGCAGTTGGGTGGCGCATTTGGGCGGCCTGCAGTTCTTCTGTCGGTCGCCGGCTTGCGCCTCCCACCACGCTGCCGCGCTATAGGGGCGCGCCTTCTGCCCAATACTTCCTGCCGCGCGCAGCCGAGAGAAAAAGCGGGGCAACGCATGCAGAGCGGAGCACTATGACACCGACCGCGGTTTCTAGTGCGGAGTGTGAGCATCCGCGGTGTTCAGGCTCCTCCACCGCCCCACCGCCGCTGCCGCCGCCTCGTGTAAAGAATCAGAACACATCCTCAGGCAGTGCGCCTGTTCCTCGGAGGAGCAGATCCAGCCGAGGCTCCTCTTCTTCAAAGTGATTGGAGATTCCATTGTCAATGGTAGCACCCATGTCATCAGTTCAGCGGCAGTTTATATTACATCGTGGGCGGAATAGGGAATAGGGTAAACTGTTTTTGGCTTAGTTGAGAGATGTTTTCTATGGCTACAGGTTCTTGGTATAATCCTTAACCTTTTGTGTTGGTCAGCTCTCGCGCTTGGGAAGGACATTCGTCAGCTACCCAGCGTGCTTTAACCTTCACACTTTCGGTAGCATCCTTTTGGCCATAATGGCAGCACTGTGAAGCAGGTATGTTTCCCCTGCACATGTTTTGTAGTGCAGGCGCTAGTTGGCCCAGCTGCAGTTCAGCCCAGTTTACCCCACTCTCTCCTACCAGACAGTGCATGGAATTGGCAGCCAGCCCTCTCCTGGCGGGTCGTGCCATGGCAATGCCATGCCTGAAAGCCCGAACCTGCACGTTGGCGTCCAGGGGATGTTCTTGTCTGGGAGGGGAAAGGTCGGGTGGGCAGTCTCACTCTTAACAGGGGTCCAGGAAAGTCTGGCGAAGTAATCCCCTAGTTTTTCTTTTCTTCATCCCCGTATGGTGGGAAGGTCATGTCTCGCCTTGCTCTGTGGTCAGCCCATTAGAGTGTGGGAAGTGAGGTACCCCAGTGCTTAGCAGTTGATATTCTCCCCCTCGCCTCCTCCTCCTTTTTTTTCCTCCTCCTCCTCCTCCTCCTCCCTCTGGGGCAGGGTTCGGTGGAGCCGAATCGGAACCGGCAGCGCCCCAGACAAATGCCTGGGGGTCAGCTGTTGTCAGAGGAACGCGCCTGGGCTTTAGTTCGCCCCCGAAGCGAATGTCAAAAAAATGTCTTGCTGTTCCTGGCCCGCGGACACTGTAGGGCGCCGTTCGCCGCTCGTCTGCCTCAGTGGCCGGCGGGTTCAGAACGGCTCTTCGGTCCTGGCTGGGAGCGGGGGCTGGGCTCGCCAGAGGGCCCCCAGCCTGCAGCAGTTGAATGGCGCATTTGGGCGGCCTGCAGTTCTTCTGTCGGTCGCCGGCTTGCGCCCCCCACCACGCTGCCACGCCATAGGGCGCGCCATCTGCCCAGTACTTCCTGCCGCGCGCCGCCGAGAGAAAAAGCGGGGCAAGGAATGCAGAGCGGAGCACTATACATGGCGAGGAGAGGGGGGGCTCGACCGCGGCCGCGGGTTGGCATCATAAGCTCCTGGACAGCTAAAGCGCCATTGAGCTTCCCCAAGACCGTTCAACATTGCGTCTGAGGCGTTCCGGCGCCACCCGAGACGCCAGCAGACGGTCTGCAGACGCGCCAAGAGGCCCCCCAGTGGGTTTCCAAGAGGCCTCCATGAAGCCCCTTCCAATGGCCCCAGAAGGCAAACACAAATTTGTTCCTGAGGAGAAAGTGAATTTTCAGCACGTTCGCTTTTGTAGCCAGGACAGCTTGCAAGACGGTTCGAGAGGCGCCCATGGAGGCTCCAAGAGCGCTTACGAGGCCCCAAACACGGCCCAACAGGACTCCAAGACGGTCCAAGGGAGCCCGCCACAACAGGTCGTGGAGCTCGATCTTTGGCGGGTGCGGCTCCCAACATGCTCCGAATACTTGCCGGGAAGCCTCCAGAACGCTTCCAAAAGGCCCCTGGAGGCTCCCGAGAGACCCCCACAACGCCCCCCGGATCCCCCAAAAGACCCCCAAGAGGCCTGAAAAGGCTTTTTAAATGCTGCCAAGAAGCTCCCAAGAGGCCTCCCAGTCGGCCCCCAGAAGCTCGGTCGCCCCCGAGACCCCCAACACTTACACCCAGGGCTCGACCATCCCCGAAGACTCCCCAAATTGATTTATCACAGGCTCCCCAAGGGCGCCCAGCCCCCAAGATGATTCAAAGTAACGCTCGAACAGGGCTTAAAGAGTGTCCCAAGCCGGCCCAGGACAACCGCAAGATAGCCGCCAGTGGAGCCCAGGACTGGCCAAGATAGCCCCAAGACGGCCCAAGAGCGCCCCGAGATGTCTCACGAAGGCTTGAAGACGGCATAGGAAAGACCAAGAGGGCCCAAGGTGGCCCCAAGAGGTCGCAAGACAGGCCCATGAGGACTCCGCAAAAGCCAGCACCTGCTGGCCCAATTTCCTGTGACCGACTAGAAGCTAAGTGCGCGCGAAGCGCTTGCGCCGTTATAGTATGTATGTGTGTAGACACCTGCTGGTCTTATGTGTACATATATATATATATACATTTGGAAAAGTATGCATGTGTACATCGATATATACATATGTTTGTGTATGCATGCATATGTATTCGCGTACGTATATATACACACGCGTAAAGCTATATATATATACCCTGTATTCACACGCGTGTACCCATATATATACTTATATATATACTTATGTATATATATATATGTGTACGTGGTGGCGCCCCCTATCCTACATACATTTATATGTGTGCATATACATACATATATACATACATACATACATACATACATACATACATATATACATACATACATACATACATACATACATACATACATACATACATACATACACATGTGTGTGTGTTGGCGCGTCGGCGAGGTCGCCCGAAAAAGGTTAGTTTCAGGAGGCTGCGGGCATACACCTATGTATGCATATGTATGTACCCATATACTTATATATATATATATATGTATACGCATGCATGTAAGCTACACACATATATATATATATACATGCACACACATACATCTACATATGAGGGGGCCAAACGGTCATTCACTGCCCCTGGGCACGTGGCTGAAGTGGGGAGTCTGCGGTGCAGATTGTTTTTGCGCTGAACTGCCATTTCTCACGACTACTTCGTGTTGTTTCACCTTGCATGGTGCCCGTTGTGTTCTTGCAGTTAAAGTGCTCCTGGCGGGGTGCGCATCTCGGCTTGTGCAAGGGAAAGTCTTGCGCAACGGCTCCCACCTGACACCTCCCGATTATCTATTCGAAATCGCGCTTTTGCCCAGAACTTCCTCACAACGTATGCAGGAATCGTGCTCTCGCGTTGCACTTCCCCACGATTGATTCACACGCAGCGCCCACGACACTCAGAAATCACGCTCTCCCTCCGGATTCACCCACGATTTACTTGGGAATCGCGCTATCGTTCGAGAACTCGCGCTTCATGCAGGACTGACGTTCCAGCCACCCGCCCGCTCGACCCGGCCACCCGGGCCCGCCCGCCCGGCCCGCCTACTGGGATCCGCCCGCCCGCCGCACCCGCCTGGTTCAGCCACCTGTGTTCTGCTCCCGCCCCCCCTCTCCTGCTAGTCTCCCTCGCGCTCCATCCTGCTTCCTCCCACGTGTCCATTCGTTCCATCCCCTCCCTTTCCTCGATTGTTCTAGGGGCTGCGCCAGGTACGCGTGGCAAGTAAACAAGGCAGACCCCCAAGGGGGGCACGATCGAAGACGAAGAGGCTGGGTATCGAGGGTTTGGGACATACGTGTTGAAAAGGCTTTCGAGCAGATGCGAGCGAGCAGTCTGAAAAGTACTCTTCTTGTCGCCGTCCTCGCCCGCAACCCACCCGCCACCCACCCCGCGACCCACCCACCTTGCTTTGACGAAACTGCGGCGCCTGCGGCGAGCTCGTTGCGCAATGTGTTAAAGAGTCGGCACCTTCGGCGGGTTTCTTCAGAGCCTCGCAGACTGCCGACGACCCCGCCGCCCCCTCACTCTTATCCGTAACTGCGGGGTGTTACGTGTGTGTGTGTGTCTATACACCTATCTATAGATGCAGGCTAATGCATATCGGCATGTATAGATGTATTGCAAGGCCCGTGGCCGGCGTCTTCATACTTGTCATCTTCCTTCTCATTCACGTCCTCCTCCGCCGATAACCTCGCCCGAAGGCCAGGAGGCACGAGTGCGACATGGTAGTCAGAAGCACGCTGCGAGCCTGGAACGCGCCCCTCGAGGAGCTCGCAGGGAGGAGGCGAGGAGAAAAGGAAGAGGAGGAGCAGGCGAAGTGCGTGTGGGAGAGGCGGCTTGGCACTCGCATGCTTGAGCATGCCTTGATGGCGCGCGTGCGGCTGCTGCCCGTCGAGTACCCCGCGGTCGTCATCATCGAAGCCGCCAGGGCCTCCCTGGCCCTGTCCTGGTGGCACCGCGCGGGCCAGCTTTTGGCAGGGATTCCGGGGGCGGGCTTGCCGGACATCACGGACCTGGGCACTGGGCAACTTCGCCGATGCATCGCCTGCCGTCGTGGCTGTCCCAGCAGCGCGGAAGGCCCGCCTGCGGCGCTACCAGCGGGAGGTCATCCGCCGAGCCTTCCGTTCCTACGACCGCGAGGGTGTGCAAGGCTACGGCGTGCTTGGCTTCGGTGTTCCGCTCGTCTGCTTCTTCTTCTGGCCTGCTGCGGGGACCGGGTTGGGGTATGATCGGCTACACGTGAGAGTGGCCTTCCGCCTTTAGTGCGCGGCTTTTCGGGGGCGCGGAAGGTCTAAACCCAAGCGCGCAGGCCGTCATTGTCGGGCCGCGTGCAAAGTTCAGCGAGCCGCTCACCAGAGATGACTCGTGCCCGGGGTCACTCTTGCGAACAGCCTAAAGGAAGTGCGTGCGTTCGAAGAGGTTGGCTCACTGCATGTACGTTCATGGGCCGCTTGCAGAATATCGGGCAAGTCGCTTCTTCCAGTCCTGGGACTCGGTGTAGCGCCAGTGCGTTCGGATCGCTGCGGCGCTTGTCGATCAGTGTTGCTCACTCTAGCCTTGGCGCCTTGCGCAGATGCAGCGGGACTTCGCGAAGAGCTCTCCCCGTGCCCCCCCCCCCTGCTCCCCGTTATGGTAGGTTCCTGTCATGCCGACGCGCCTGCGACCACAGCGTGGGCTTCCAAGGTGGAACGCCGTTGGTGGCCCAGAACCGGCCAACGTGGAACGATGTGGCGATCGGAAAGCCGCCGATCGTTGAAGCTCGAACGATCCACTCGGTGTCAGGAACCAACGCCGGGGTCGTGACGGCACGAGTCTGCAGCACAGACATATAGGAACCCAGACACGCGACGTCCCGATTTTTTCAGCACGGCGTCCCCAGAAGTCCCGACCCGTTCCCCGGGGCCGGTTGCTCATCCTGAGTCGCTATTTGACGATCCTTGGGCCCGGCGAGGATCCCGAGAGGCCGACAACCTTCAGACCCGACGGCTGGAAAACACTGAAACCTCGTAAAAAATCACGATGGGGGCCCCAGGCCCCACCTTTCTGCGCTACGATCTGCGAGCGCCCCGGGGCCCGAGACTGGGCAAACACGTCCGTCTTCAGCAAATGGAACTGCCAGGATCTCGGGGAATGACGCACAACCTCCCGCCGTGATTTTTGTCACGACGCGAGCATGTCTGGGAACCGTCCTGCAAGCTCCCCTCGGCCCCACGCGTGGCCCGGGGAGTGCGTGTGTACCGTGCCGCCCGCACCGCTTGAACTTGGCATCGCTCGGACATGCGCATGTTGCCTCGGCGTGGACCATCGAGGAGCATCTTGGCGCATCTCGCGACATCGAACAACGCTCGGGAGATGGACGTCCGAGCGGTGGCGAGCCGAATGCCATGCTGGGAGACGTGCCGGGGCCGAGGCCGGCGCGGCCTCGGCAGAGGACGGCGCCGGCTGGGGTGAGCAGGGCGGGCCGGCGCCCGTTTCCAGCGCCCGTCCCAGGTTTTCTGCTATCTTCGCAAGGGCTCCCACGAGGGCGCGAAATTATTCGCGCTTCGCGCTTCGCGGTCCTCGTTCCTTCTCCCCCTCCTCCTCGTCCTCCTTTTCTCCCTTTGGGGGGGCGGCGCGAGGGCGCGAAGTTATTCGCGCTTCGCGCTTCGCGGAGCGCGAAGCGCGAAGTTGGGAGCCCTAGCTTCGGCGGTGGGAGGGTTCTTGCGATTTTCGGCAGCCGGGGGCCCCCGCCGGGCCCCAGGGCCGTCCAACAGCGACTCATGGTGACAGGCCAGTCCATGGGAAAGGGCACACATGGTTCATGTCTGAGTCTTCGAAAAGTCCTTGATTTTTGTTTGGGGGCAAGATCCTTGCATGTCTAATTCTTCCATCCTGGGCCTCTTCCTGGCCACTAGGGGGCCAAGAACAAGTAGAAACGAGCACAATTAGAAATGCGCACGATTAGAAATGAACGACGGTAGGGATTTCGGGTGGGTGGCTGCTGTCCTGTCTCGCTTGCGGAGACGGCTGCGCACGAGTAGCAACGGGTCCTGTTACCCCTCGAGCCTCGAGCACCTCGTGGTCGCGCAGAGCTGGGCAAGCGGCTGCAGAATGCGCGGGCTGAACCCAAGTTGTTTGAGGGGAAGAGGAGGAGGGAGGAGGAAGGGGAGGAGGAAGAGGGGGGACAGGGGGGGGGGGGAAAGAAGAGGAAGGGTAGGAGGAAGGGGAGGAGGGGGGAAAGAGGAGGAAGCGGAGGCGAAGAAGGAGGAGCAGAAGGAGGAGGAGGAGGAGGAGGAGGAGGAGGAGGAGGGAGGAGGAGCGCAGAACGGGAAGGGAAGGCAGGTGGGGTGGGGGGGGAGGGGCAGGGAGGAGGGGGAGGAGGGAGGAGGATGAGGGAGAGGAAGGGATGAGAGGGAGGGAGGCAGGAGGGAGTGAGGGAGGAGAGAGGGCGGAGCGCCCCGAGGAGTGCGTGGTGAAGATCGCCCCGGTCGTGTCGCTGCGGTTGGAGCACGAGGATCCGGTCTACGGCCTTGGTCGCCCGCCCGGGGGACGAGGATGATCGAGGATCGAGGGAGGAGGATCGAGGGATCGAGGAGGGTGAGAGTCGAGGATCGGAGGTCGAGGGCCGAGGAGGAGGGAGGGGGACCTAGTAGGATCGAGGACCGAGGAGCAGGAGGAGGAGGAGGAGGAGGGTCGAGGATCGGGGGTCGAGGGAGGAGGATCGACGATCGAGGATCGAGGACTAACCTTCCTATCGGGCCCCGGCCCGCTCGCCCTGGGGATGCCCCCCCCTCTTTCTTCGGGCCGCGCCACGGGGCGTCTCCACCTCCTCCCGGAACTCGAGGGTCCCTGAGATCTGGGCGTTGAGATTTTCTCACGCGGGGCGCGTTTTCGGGCCAGGGGCGGCAGCCGCCGCGCGCCGGGCGGCGGGGCCGGCCACGCCACGCGCTCGGGGCGCGCTCTGACCCCTGAGCCGCCCGCCCTTTCCCTATTTTCCTTCGGCCGCGTCCCTCCTCCCTCCTCCTCCTGGCTGGTGGCACAATTCGGCCCCATGGTACCCCCCGTTCCTGCCATTCATCGCCAGCGTAGTCACCCTCTGCCTAGCCGCCGCCGCAGAAGTTTTCGGGCCAGGGGGCCATCTCAGATCGATCCGGCTGGAGAGATGCCCCAGAAAGATGGGGTCCAAGGCTCCAGCGGCTATTTTTCGCGATGCTGTATTTCTGCGCCTCGCGGGATCTCAGGGGTCGAGGAGGAGGAGGACGGAGGATCGAGGATCAAGGATCTCAGGGGTCGAGGAGGATCCAGGATCGAGGGCGGAGGATCGATGACCGAGGAGGAAGCAGGAGCATCGAGGATCGGGGGTGGAGGGTCGAGGAGGACGGAAGAGGATCGAGGATCCAGGGCTGGCCGCCGCCTCGACGAGCCCGGGCTGGCCTGCCAGGGTTGAGGAGCGGGGAGGCCCCAGAGGTCGAGGACCCTGGGCTGGGAGCACCCAGATGTCTTGGCACCGCTCGGGCGTGTGCATGTGTTCTCGGCGAGCATCTTGCGAACAACTGCCCGCACGACGTCCTGAAAGGCACGGGGGCTGGACGTCCGATCCACGGCAAGCGCTTGGCATCGCTCGGGCGTGTGCATTTTCTCTCGGCGAGGGCCATCGAGGAGCATCGAGAAGCATCTTGCGAGAACCTGCACGCACGATATACTAGAAGGCACGGGGGCTGGATCGTCCGAGCGATGGCCTGATCCCCGAAGACGTGTTCTTCGATCCCGGCGCTGTCTTCAAGCCAGGCGCTTGCCTCGATCTCGGCATCCCGAGGGCCCCGCCGTCGGGCCCCGCGACGCCAGGACCAGTCGAGAACGGGAAGACTGTCCCAAGGGCCAGCGGTCGGGACTTCTTGTCGGGGGCCTTGAGAGCGGGGTCAGCGCAAACGGGGTCAGCCAGAGCGCCAGATCTTGCAGGATCCTGCAGGGCCAGGGTCGCACCGACCTGGGCTTGGGCGCAAGATCCTGCAAGGATCCTGCCAGGAACCTGCAAGGATCCTGCAACGCCTGACTGACCGGGTCTGGATTGACCCGGGTCAGTGAATCCCCGATCTTGGGTTGGGCGGGGATGCGTTGGGCTCGCGTCGTGTCGACCAGCGGCGACCCCGCCGCTGGCGGTCAACGTTGAACGCCGCCAGTGGACAAAGAAGCGTTCGCTGTTGAACGATCTGACGTGTCGGAAACGACCGATCGTTCAAGGTTGAACGATCCCGCGGTGTCAGGAACCAACGCTGGGGACGACACGACACGAACCCGCGGGCTGCCTTGACACGCCCTTTGTGAAACGCAGCACGTACCGTGCTCATAACGTCCGTGTCAACACGTTGCGTGTTGGCTCAGCGTATGAGCCCACGTGTTGGCGAACGTAGCGCGTCAGACTTACGTTTTCAGTCTACGTGTTGAATTCCGTGTCACACGCTACGGGTTGCGTGTTGCGTATCGGGGCGGCTAAGCTCCAGTCGTGAAGAAATGGCGAGCTTCTTTGCCATTTACAGTATCTGGGGGCCCTCGTTGGGCCCCGGGTCCGTCAGAGAACGTCTCGGGATGGACAGCCAGTCCCAGGGAATGGGTCGAGACCTCTGGGGGGCCACGTTGCCAAAATATCACGATCTCGGGGGTCTGGGGAGTAGGGTCGTGGCCCCATGGGCCCATGGGCGAGGGCCTTGGGTTGCAGATCGGGGGGTGAGATAGCTGGAAGAGAGGGTACTGTCAGGACTTGTTGCCAAGCGTGTCGCGCTGCTGGTTCTAATCAACCACGCTTCAGGACGACACATTTAACCACTTCCCAATTCCCAAGCGTCAACGCCCCGAGCCTTCCACACCCTCTCGCCTGGCGTAGCGGAGCGATACGCGATCTACTTGCCCTGTAAAGCGTGTCGCCGGGACCGCCGCCGCGACACGCTAAGCAAAAATTCGCGTCGAGGTGTTGTTCATTTTCGGGGTGCAGTGGGGCGGTTGATGAAAGCCCTGCTGACCTGCAGCGCCTTCTGGGGGGCTGGGGGCAAGGGGGCGTAGCGGCATCACGCCTACACTTGGTCAGAAGCTCGATGTTCCCAAAAGGAGGCAGCCTGCACGAAGGCGTCGAACATGGTCGCGGCTCAGGCGCCGCCTCGAATGTTGTCCAGACTGCATGGCGACCTCATAACGAAGCAGGCCCGATCTCAATCAAGGGCACCACTTTTGTAGAAAGAATACATGGGCAGAGCGGTGCAATGAGAGGCCATGCGACGCAATGCCAACCAATGTGTATGCCGTCGCAGCACACCTCATGTCATCGCCTAGCTGATCATGGCTTGGCAGCGACGCGTTGCATCATTCCGGATAGCAACGCGAAGTATTGGTGTTGCATTGTCAAACCATTGCGCATCATTGCGCAACAAGGCATCGCATTGCATAGGATATCGTATCTTAGAACTGCAAGCAGGGAGCAATTCGTTGAGTTTTACTGTATTGGGTTGTGTAGTTGGTCGCATCATAAAATCAGCAAGCGTTAAAAACCTCCTACCCTTGTGTTGCATGGTGCAGAGTAGCATTTTCATCGCACAGCCACGTTTTGCATTGCATAGCGCAGCGTTCCGTAGCATAGAAGCTCGTCGCGTGGCACTGCATCGCGCTGTATAGCGAACCACAGCAATGCATAGTATTGCATGTCGTACAGCGGCATGTTGTTGCAAGTCAGGCGAAGTAGGTGTAATCGTATTCTGGTATGGTATATGCAAAGTAGATTGCATACGTCTGGTGACGATAGGCCATGTTGCTTTGTTAATAGCAAGACGAGCGGCATGATACGCTGGTCATACAGCATGGCAGAGTGGGATATGATAGCGGTAGTGATGGCGCGGACGGTGCGCAAGCTCATGAAATGCGAGGCTTAAGCCTGGACCGGGCTATGTCGTGCGAGGGCACTGTCCAGCACGTGCTTGTTTGTTGCGCCGAACTT